GCACAGTTTCAAAATTGCAGAAAGACAATACATAATTGAGTTCAACAATGGAATGTTAACTCCATGAGAAATTGCTCTGTGACTGTATATTCTTTAATTGCTACTTGGGTTTTTTCAGTCCTTGTATCAATTTAGACAGAAAGGATAAAATTACTAACACTTCACTTTTATTTTTCTTCAGTTCATAATGAGCGATAATGGAAGAATGATTCCTATCATAAAGTGTATTTTTTTGACAGAATAGACACATGTAGTACTAATGAGTGGCTAGAATGTGATAAAATATTGAAGGAGTAGTGAGGGGTGGGAAAGACAGAAAGGGAAAGGTGTGTTCAGGGGAAGAAGTTGGCAATGAATGGGAGAGTTAAGAAAGGAGAACTTGCATATTTTGAACGTCTTCTATGTGATAATTCTGAGTTAGATATTTATATAGGAATATATTTCTTACGATATCTCAAGCATTTTTTTTTATTTTAAAGAGGAAAAAATAAAAAAAAATTGAAAACAAAAGGAGGGTAAATATGGTTAATACATTTCCTATCGTTATCTTTAAGTTAGTCACTTGGAGTACAAGACACCAACCAACATTTGTCTCAAGAATTCCTGTGGAAGGTGGTGACCTAGCGCAGCGGTTTCCGTGCCGGGCTCTATAGCGCTAGGTCGCCGGTTCGTGCCTCCGTCCTGACTCTTTGAGGAGCCGGGGAGATGGCTCAGTGGAATAAGTGCTTCCCCAGCAAGCACAAGGGCCTGAGTTCAAACAAAAAAAAAAAAAAAAAAAAAAAAATTCCTGTGAAGTAAATTATTATCTTCATATTATTAATGAGGAAACCAAATCTCAGAGATGCTAAGCACCTTGTTTGAGGTTCTTTATTAAGTAGTACAGCCAGATTGTTGCTACAACCATTCACTGACTTCTCACTCGCTAGTGTGAGCTTCTCAATGATTCCACGATGATAAATCTAATGAGTCTTAAGCTTTACTCACCTATCTGTAGCATCTGATGAAGTTGAGCCCTTTCTACTCCTTAAAGGACTATCTATACTTGTTGACCTGTACAGCATACTCATATCTTGGCCTCCCAATATTATTAGAAACACATATTTATTTGATGCTTTTACCTCATTTCCTCCAATCTATAGTAAGAATCTCTAGAATGCAGTCTTAAAACACTTTTTCTTTAGTGAAACTTATACTTAAGTCAGTCTTTATCCACCTCAGCATTGTTGACATTTTAGGTTGCAAATTCATTGCTGTGAGCATCACAGGGCCTTTATCACCAGCCAACAGATGCTAGTAGCCTGCTCTTCCATCACTTGAGTTGAGAATGATGGCCCTAAGTGGTCTCGTCTCACCCCAAATTCCCCATTCTTGTTTATGTCTTAAATCCAGACCTTTCCCATACACTGCTGCCTACTCCACCTCTTCAATGTGAGTGTCTAAGATTTGACCTTTGTTTGGTTTTTGTATTCCAACTTTCTCTGACAGTCTTCCTTGGCTCAGTTAATGGCATACTGACATTCCTGGTGTTCAGGCTAAGACTTTTCTTTCCCCTACTCCACAATCCTTTAGGCCATCTTGTTGATTTTACTTTTAAAGTATGTTTAGAATTATTTTCAATCCACTTTCATCCTAACACCTTCATCACTGTCTCGCTGGTCCGTTTCCTCATTATCTCATGGTTAAATTTTTACTGTAGCTTCATATCTGGTCTCTCTGCTTCCACTACTGCTTCTATATATCTTAATTTACCTTTTCTAGGCCCTCTGCACTCTACCAGCTGTATTTTCTTAGTGAATAGTTGTCCAAATGGTGTTCGTGTCCAGGGAATGGGCTCATGGGAACATGATCCTGAAGTGACCTAGTCCACCATCTTGTTCTGTAACTCCCCTTAATGTTTAGGTACTCATTCTTATCTAGTACACAGACAAGCATTATGGAAACTGATCTCTACTTGGTGTTAGACTGTAAAGAAAATCTCAAATCACTCAAAGAATTAATATAATGCAGACCATGGTCTATGACTGTATTATTAAAGTTTAATTTACAAAGCCCCATGCTGATATTTTGAGAGTATATCAACCAAACAACTCATTTGCTAAAAAATAAATAAGAAGAAAAACAATAACAAAGACAAAATTAGAACAGAATGACAATGGAGACACTGTTACAATTTATGTGTTATGATTAAAATAATCCCCAGTGAAAAATTCATAGCCTTGAACATTGATTGTAGTAACAAAAGAACACGGAAATTTAATCATCAAATGTTAAATTTAAAAAAAATTAGAAGGAAAAAATAAACCCCAAGAAAATAGGAGGGAAAAAATTTGCAAATGATTTTGGTTCACTCTGTCTTTCTCCTACTTTTTCTAAAACCTTTCTGTGTCTATCTATATGTGTGTATGTATGTATATATGTATGTACATATGCATGAACATATATGTGTTTACCTGACATTGAACTCAGGGCCTTCATACTGAGCTACACAAGCATACTTTTGTTTGTTTATTTTTTTAATTTTGAGAAAAGTCTCATAAAGTCATTAAGTTGTTCAGGCTGTGCTCAAACTTTGATTCTTGTCTCAGTCTTTCAGAGTGCTGGAATTATAGGCATATACAACCATGCTCAACAGTAACATGTTTAAAGGATGCAGAGGATTCTCTTCTGCTGTGTTAGAGTTAACACTTACTTTAGCTGATTATTTCATTTAAAAATGTGAAAATACACAATCATTTCAGAAGAAAAATTATAAATAGAATCATAAGGTTCCAATACTTGCCCATGCTGAAAGGCTTTCATATACTTGGGGATGAGGCTGATTAGCTATACTAACCTAAGTTTAGGTTGAGATTATATCCTATTCCTTGGACATTTAAAGGCAGCCTACTCCTATTCTTGCTGCCTGTGTGGAGTAGTAACGTGCCCTCATTGCTAAAATGCATTCTTATCCCTCAGATACTAGAAAAATATTTAATAATCTCAAGGAGTTTGTATACTCTGAAAGATCATTAAATAAGTTACTGCATTTAGAATATAAGAATGCCAAGTTTAGCAAACATTCCACCAAAGCCTTATCAATAGGTAATTAATTAATTAATTTTTGAGGTATTTTTAGAATATATGGCTGGGAATGTGGGGTGTGCAGGGTGTACAGGGTTTCACTGTGTAGATCAGACACAGAGTGATCTGCCTGGTTATGGCTTCTCAAAAGCTGTTTCTAAAGGTGCGCCACCATGCCCAGCCTCCATGACTGTCTCAGTGTACCCCAGGGGTGGGGCTGGCACAGCAGTCTCAGGATGGAACCCCAGGCCCCTTCCTCTACCGAAGCAGGTGCTTTAACCTGCTGAGTTATTGGCAGGCCCTTTCAATAGGAAATTTAGATTAAACAGAATTCTTTACTTTGGATCATTCCCCATATAAAGCTGTCAGACTCAATGAAGAAAATAAGTAACTAAACTCACTTTTCATTTTATAACAATTTGATTTTGCAGAACTTCATCCAGTAAAACAATTCTAAGGATGTTTAAACCTGGGCCTTCAGTTAAGAGGCTGATAATCTTCAATAATATCATAATCAGTGTTTATTTACTTACCTCTATTCTTGAGGTGAGTACTTTAGATTGGGTAAATATGATGATTGACATGTTAAATCTATGCAGACCTTAAATAATATTCTTGATCCTGATGTTACTTTGTAATGCAAAGGAGAACAGAGTACATGAAGGTAAAGTTGAAGCAATAATCCTTCTGAGTTCATATGAAAAGCTGAGGTTTAATGAATTTCTAGCTTTTTTTTTATTTTTTTGATTTATGGAATTCTGCTTTATTCAGTTTGTTGAACAAAAGCTAATGAAATTATAGTTTCTAAAAAACAGGCACAGAAACAAGTACCTATTGGAAATAATAAGACCATTAGTTACAAAATTTAATTATAACAATCAAAGAATGATTATTGGTGGAACCAATCCACAATGACAGCTCTGAGGTGTGTAGATGCTAGTTTTCAAATAAAGGTGACAAATATTGATTATATTCCCATAACAATGTTTTAGATCTACATACTTCACTACACAAGGCTAACAAAATAACAGTGAAATTACCAATAATTAAACCAAAGATTTAATTTCCAGATCATTTTTAGTGAGACAGTAAGTCCATTCTAACTTTTTAATCATATAATGCTAGATGAAACTCAAATCCTTTTATACCTGAGATAAAAGTAAATTTTCTATTTCCTATCTAATCATAATTCTTAGCATTGAGGTAAATCTGAATTCATGTATTTTGTCAAACTTTTTCAAAAGAAATTTAATCCTTGTTTTAGAGATTCTTCACAGATGTATTTACATTTTCTCTTCAAACACTAACAACAAGCTTATGTGGTTAATAGGTCTGTAATGGGACTGTGAAACTACTAATATGAAAATAAAAAGCCATACATCTGTACAAACTATTCCTGCATGTGCAATATGAACTGGGATCACAGAAGTATATGCATGAATTTTTGAATTCAAAATGCCCTGAATTCAAGGCTGGCCTTGAACTGGTGGAGATCCTCCTACCTCAAGCTCCCAATTGCTGAGATTACAGGTGTGCTCCATGATGTCCAGATATGCTTACAAGAAAAAAACTCAACTTATTCTACTCTTTGTAGCAAGGGTTACAAAATGGTGATGTAAGATAAAGATA